TCAGACGTGCGCTCACGGCGCCCGACGTGCTCGCCTCGTGAGGCCCAGACGTCCCGGCTCTGCCACCGATAACTCTGTCTTTTCTGTTTCTGTCCTAAACCCACCTTGTCCGTGGTCCAGTAAAGAAGGTCCTTTAAGTGACGGGTCAGTAACCACGCCCACTGCGACCCCCGCCCCTCCCCCACCCCCGCGACACTAACCCGTGTTCTCAGTCTTCACGCCCAGCTTTCTAAACCTCTGTGTTTGCCAAGCTGACATCAGGAAGCTAGTCCATCTGGCTTTTTAAAAAAATTTTTTTAATTGATTTATAGAGAGAGAGGAAGGACGGGGGAGAGAGAGAAACATCCATGAGACAGGAACATCATCGATCGGCTGTCTCCTGCACGCCCCTCACTGGGGATGGAGTCCGCTACCCGGGCATGTGCCCTGACTGGGAATTGAACCCTGACCTCCTGGTTCATAGGCTGATGCTCAACCCCTGAGCCACACCAGTCGAGCTGATCTGGCTTTTTTTTTTTAAAAAAGGAAAAGCAAAGGAGGGGACCTATGTGCTGATTGCGTGTGTCCCCTTGGACGGAAGTGGCACGTGGCTGGCCTGCTTACCTGAGGGGGGCGGAAGGGGGCACGTGACAGCTGTGTGGCTGCTGTGTTTGTGGCCGGCTTGTTGCCCTGACGACCCCTGGAACGAGCTCACACGTGGCCCAGGGTGCAGGCTGTGCCTCCGTCAGCCCCTCGTGCACCTGTCATGGAAGAGGTCGTAGCCGGGAGGGAGGGCTTCCCGACAGATCCACTCGCCCCAGGCCTGTGAGGAAGGACCACGTATTCCCGCTGGGAGGTGGTTGCAGGGCCGAGTAGCCACGGAAGAGGCCAGTCATGTCGCCCGGATGGGACTCACACTGAGCTCCATGGGCCACAGCGCACAGGCCTGCGTGCGCAAGCGGGCACACGCACACACACACACACCCACACACACAGCGAACAGGCGAGCAGACAGGGAACTACACACAGTGGATCTGCAGCTGGGGGTCACTTACCAAGGTCAGAAACCACGACTCGGGAGGAGGAGAACTTGGCGAGGATCAAAGGAACCTGTTGGAGGCGGGGAGGGCGGGAAGGGGTTAGAAGCCCTCCAGGGGGGCCAGCCAGGTGGACGTCGGGCCCAGGTCTGCCCAGGAGGAGGCCGCAGACCTCGTTCCCTACATACGGGAACGTCTGTCCGCCTGCTCGCCCCACGCCGTCCCGCACGAGTGGCCTCGGGCTCACCTCCCCGCCTCCTGAGGCCGAGGGGGCGCGAGGGAGGCTTCCAGCAGCTCTTCACCTCCACCGGTGGGGCGGCCCTCGTAGGGGCGGGAGGAGGTGGCGCCTCACAGTCACGTGTGCGCTCCCCATTCACGCCATCCCCTCCATCCCCTCCGAGGGGCCGTGACCGCGACCCGAATCCCTGCTGCTTTCCAGCTTAACTCCCGCCGCACCCCTGTGCTCCTTCCTCCCGTGCCTGGGTTTGCTCCTCCCCGTCTGCCGCTCTGTCTGTGCCCTGAGGGCGGCGCTCACGTCTCTCTTCCCCCGCAGGTTTAGCTTCTTCTCCCGGGACAAGAAGCGCCTGGCCACCACGCAGCGGGGCCCGCACGGCCAGGAGTCCTTC